AGCCTGCGCGTCTAAGAGCCTGTGCTCTGCAACGAGAGGCCGCGATAGTGAGAGGTCGGCACACCACGATGAAGAATGGCCCCCCGCTTGCCGCAACTAGAGAAAGCCCTCACACAGAAATGAAGAGCCAACACAGCCATAAATAAATAAATAAATAAATAAAATTAAAAAAAAAAATTACAGGGAAAAAAACGTAAAAAACACAAACACATGGAGGCTAAACAATACACTACTTAATAACCAAGAGATCACTGAAGAAATCAAAGAGGAAATCAAAAAATACCTAGAGACAAATGACAATGAAAACACGACGATCCAAAACCTATGGGATGCAGCAAAAGCAGTTGAAGAGGGAAGTTTATAATTATACAAGCCTACCTCAAGAAACAAGAAATATCTCAAATAAACAATCTAACCTTACACCTAAAGGAACTAGAGAAAGAAGAACAAACAAAACCGAAAGTTAACAGAAGGAAAGAAATCATAAAGATCAGAGCAGAAATTTAAAAAATAGAAACAAAGAGAAGAATAGCAAAGATCAATAAAACTAAAAGCTGGTTATTTCAGAAGATAAACAAAATTGATAAACCATTAGCCAGACTCAAGAAAAAGAGGGAGAGGACTCAACTCAATAAAAGTAGAAACAAAAGAGGAGAAGTTACAACAGACACCGCAGAAATACAAAGCATCCTAAAAGACCACTACAAGCAACTCTTTGCCAATAAAATGGACAACCTGGAGGAAATGGACAAATTCTTAGAAAGGTATAACCTTCCAAGACTGAACCAGGAAGAAATAGAAAATATGAACAGACCAATCACAAGTAATGAAATTGAAATTGTGATTAAAAATCTTCAAACAAACAAAAGTCCAGGACAAGGTGGCTTCACAGGTGAATTCTATCAAACATTTAAAGAAGAGCTAACACCCATCCTTCTCAAACTCTTCTAAAAAACTGCAGAGAAAGGAACACTCCCAAACTCATTCTACGAGGCCACCATCACCCTGATACCAAAACCAGACAAAGATACTACAAAAAAAGAATATTACAGACCAATATCACTGATGAATACAGATGCAAAAATTCTGAACAAAATACTAGCAAACAGAATCCAACAACACATTAAGAGGGTCATACACCATGATCAACTGGGATTTATCCCAAGGATTCAAGGATTCTTCAATATACGCAATTCAATCAATGTGATACACCATATTAACAAATTGAAGAAGGAAAACCAAATGATCATCTCAATAGATGCAGAAAAATCTTTTGACAAAATTCAACACCCATTTATGATTAAAAACTCTCCAGAAAGTGGGCATAGAGGGAACCTACCTCAATATAATAAAGGCCATATATGACAAACCCACAGCAAGCATCATTCTCAATGGTGAAAAACTGAAAGCATTTCCTCTAAGATCAGGAACAAGACAAGGATGTCAACTCTCACCACTATCATTCAACATAGTTTTGGAAGTCCTAGCCATGGCAATCAGAGAAGAAAAATGAATAAAAGGAATACAAACTGGAAAAGAAAAAGTAAAACTGTCACTGTTTGCAGATGACATGATACTATACAAAGAGAATCCTAAAGATGGTACCAGAAAACTACTAGAGCTAATCAATGAATTTGGAAAAGTTGCAGGATACAAAATTAATGCATAGAAATCTCTTGCATTCCTATATAGTAATGATGAAAAATCTGAAAGAGAAATTAAGGAAACACTCCCATTTACCACTGCAACAAAAAGAATAAAATACCTAGGAATAAACCTACCTAACGAGAAAAATGACCTGTATGCAGAAAACTATAAGACACTGATGAAAGAAATTAAAGATGATACCAACAGATGGAGAGATATACCATGTTCCTTGATTGGAAGAATCAATATTTTGAAAATTACTATACTACCCAAAGCAATCTACAGATTCAATGCAATCCCTATCAAATTACCAGTGGCATTTTTTAACAGAACTAGAACAAATAACGTTAAAATTTGTATGGAAAGGCCCTGAATAGCCAAAGCACTCTTGAGGGAAAACAGCAGAGCTGGAGGAATCAGACTCCCTGACTTCAGACTATACTACAAAGCTACAGTCATCAAGACAATATGGTACTGGCACAAAAACAGAAATATAGATCAATGGAACAACATAGAAAGCCCAGAAATAAACCCATGCACCTATGGTCAACTAATCTATGACAAAGGAGGCAAGGATATACAATGGAGAAATGACAGTCTCTTCAATAAGTGGTACTGGGAAAACTGGACAGCTACATGTAAAAGAAAGAAATTAGAACACTCTCTAACACCATACACAAAAATAAACTGAAAATGGATTAGAGACCTAAATGTAAGACTGGACACTATGAAACTCTTAGAGGAAAACATAGGAAGGACACTCTTTTACATAAATCACAGCAAGATATTTTTTGATCCACCTCCTAGAGTAATGGAAATAAAAACAAAAATAAACAAATGGGACCTAATGAAACTTCAAAGCTTTTGCACAGCAAAGGAAACCATAAACAAGATGAAAAGACAACCCTCAGAATGGAAGAAAAGATTTGCAAAAGACCAATGGACAAAGGATTAATCTCCAAAATATATAAACAGCTCATGCAGCGCAATATTAAAAAAAAAACCAACCCAATCCAAAAATGGGCAGAAGACCTAAATAGACATTTCTCCAAAGAAGACATACAGATGGCCAAGAAACACATGAAAAGCTGCTCAACATCACTAATTATTAGAGAAATGCAAATCAAAACCACAATGAGGTATCACCTCACACCAGTTAGAATGGGCATCATCAGAAAATCTACAAACAACAAATGCTGGAGAGGGTGAGGAGAAATGGGGACCCTCTTGCACTGTTGGTGGGAATGTAAATTGAAACAGCCACTATGGAGAGCAGTATGGAGGTTCCTTAAAAAACTAAAAATAGAATTACTATATGACCCAGCAATCCCACTACTGGGCATATACCCAGAGAAAACCATAACTCAAAAAGACACATGCACCCCAATGTTCATTGCAGCACTATATACAATAGCCAGGTCATGGAAGCAACCTAAATGCCCATCAACAGATGAATGGGTAAGAAGATGTGGTACATACATACAATGGAATATTACTTAGCCATAAAAAGGAATTAAATTGGGTCATTTGTAGAGACGTGGATGGATCTAGAGACTGTCATACAGAGTGAAGTAAGTCAGAAAGAGCAAAACAAATATCGTATACTAACGCATATATGTGGAACGTAGAAAAAATGGTACAGATGAACTGGTTTGCAGGGCAGAAAGTGAGACACAGATGTAGAGAAGAAACGTATGGACACCAAGGAGGAAAGCGGCAGGGGGGTGGTGGTGGTGGTGTGATGAATTGGGAGATTGGGATTGACATGTATACACTGATGTGCATAAAATGGATGACTAATAAAAAAAAATATATCCCCTTCTCTTATACTAATTCAATTTTTTTCCTTATCTCTTGTCTTTACATCACTTATAAATCTTTGCCTTCTAACTGGAAAGCAAGAATATTAATTTCGTTAATATAATAGTACATACTGTATAATAATAAGAAAAAGGAGAGAGAAAAAAAAAAAGATGAGGAGAATAAGGAAGGATATGGCAAATAGAGGGAAGGAAAGAAAGAAAGATTTTTATAAAACCACCCAGAAGTTCCTCTGAGTTCTGTTTCCTAGTAAATTGTCCTAGATTGAAGCAGGTGCATATAAATAAATAAATAGAAAAACTGATGGTTTTAAGTCTTAATGATCCTTTGTGACTACTTTCAACATACTTTTTCCTTTAAAAAATTGAAATATTTTTACATGTATTAGAGCAACAGAAAAAGGTCTGAGCCTATTATTAAGGAATTACTGAATTCTTCTGGATCAGGTTAAAGGTAAAATAATATTAATACATGCTCAAATAGTAACCATCATAATCTTTTTTTTCTTTTTTTAAGTAATTCAGACTGGCACTCCATTAAAAATATGTAGGGCTTATTTTTAAAGTAATATATAAACAAAAAGTACAAATATACATAATGTTTCCATGACTATATATTTACAGTTTATTATTCATAGCTACTGTGTATTAATGCATCAAGTAACTACATGAAAGGGAACTAAAGCTCACATCTGCTTATTCTGATTTGTGATAATAATTTTAAAGAACTCTGGAAATTCAGTGAGTCAATGAATTAGGCTATAGGGAATTTCTTCTGTACAATTCTGTATTATGTAGGGAACATTTTCTTCAGCTGTTTTTTTTCCCCTAGACGTTAATCTTCCTTACAAACTAATTGTATTACTTGCATGAGCATAGGAGGAAAATAGCAGAACCGGGCAGTTTCTGAGCAAGATTATTTGACATTGCAATAAGTGACAAACTAAAACAGGGACAAGTGTGAGACATCTGGAATTCAAGCAAATCCAACTTGCTTTAGATCTGCATATTTGTATAATTTAATGTTATCTAGGAATTCATTTAAGAGGTCATCTGTTTTCACTTAAAAATTGGTTTAGGCTTTACCTGCTAAAGAGCTTAAATTTAGAAAAAGCACTGGACTGCAGTCACGTGTCACTTATTCTTTGGTCCTACGCAGGATGTCTCAAAAAGCTAGAAGGGTCAGTTCTTTTATTTACAAAAGAATAAATTAATTCAGTAGAAAGGATTTCACCACACTTCAACATCTTTAAAGTCCTTGGTTGAAGCAACCGGGCGTTATAAAATATTGAGCCCAGCTTCGCAGAAAGTCCCTTCGGTTTCCCTCCCGTCCCAAACCCTTTGCCTCAAAGCCACTGACAGCCGCTGTGAGAGCTTCTAAGAGGTCCAAGCACGTTCACATTCCCCGATTTTGGATCTCCGCGACTCGGAAAGGTCGGGGACGCACCAATGCTCGGAGCCGAGGGGCGGGGCCAGGAGGCGGGACGAACGGGGCCAAGCCCCGCCCAACAAAGCGGAACTAGATTTACGTCATTTCTGTCTGCGGCGTTACCTGGGGCACAAGTGGAGTTCAGGCCGGCGGCGATTGGCAGGTGAAGGGAATGGTGTCCCCTCCGACTCAGCCGGTACTGCTCCCACTCGGCTTACCTCTGAGGCCGCTGGATCTGAGCCTCCTCTGGTTCAGTGCATTGACGGCCCCAGGTCCTTGAGGTCCCCGCCCTATCCAGCCCTCTTAATTAAGTTTCGTTTCTCTGAAGCCCCCATTTGGCACCTAGACTCTCGTTTAAAATCTTGGCCAGGATTAACCCCTTCCCCCGTGTTTCCTCTCCTTGCCCTCGATGAACTCGCGTTCCTCTGGTTGAAAAGAGCTCCCGGCCCATCCTTCGCGCTCTCAGTGCCCCACTCACCGCGCAGATACTGTCTAGTCCACCTTCAGGCCGAGCGGGAAATACTTAACCTACCTCACGTGTTTTTCTGGACTCTTTTTCTGTTCGATTCATGAAATGGTTTTCCGTCTTTTCATTTTATTATTTAGAGATGGAAAGGGCAAAATCGTTTTTAAGGAGGAGGCTAAGCAGTTTTTTTTCTCTTCCGCTCTTGGTATAAAGGAGAAAGAAAAGGAGAAGCGAAATTACAAAATTGATAAAGATCGTGAAACATTTGTTTATTCAATAAAACAGTAGGGGAAACAAAATGGGAAGCATAGGTTCTAATCCCAGCAAATTAATTTTAATTCTATTTTCAGACTTTTAAAGAAGTAAATGGAACTTAGATTTCAAAGACTTACCTTGTAATCTTTTTCTCATGAAGCCTGAATAGATCAGCGGAGCCATGATCTATTATAATACAAGTTTTTGAATTGGGATAGATAAAAATCTTAGCTCTGAATCTGCAAGTGGAACCCGGATGTAAAATCCTCATGACCTGAACAGTGGCTTGATAGTACTTTTTAGTATCTTAGGGTTTCTGAAGTGTTTTCACATTAATTTATTTGGAGCCTCATAATAACCATATGACATCAGTATTGTTTTTTATTTAAGGCCAGCAACTGTCCTTACCCCCTTTTCTTCTCTGGACCTTGTCCTTTTAAACTACTCGAAAGACTTTACCCTTCATAGCTAACAACATCTTAATGTGCCTTAATGTCTCCCATATTTTAAAAAATTTCTTGAATCCATTCCCACCTTCCAGCAAATACCCCTTATCTCTGCTCCCTGACAGCACTCCAAAGAACCGTTTACATATTCACTGTCTCAGCGTTCCCACTTCCTCAACACAGGCTTTCTTTCTTGCTGCTCCAATAAGCAACTTTAGTTGGCCAAATCTAATTCTTTATCCTCCATTTTACTTGACTCTCCACAATTGAGCACTTCTCTTTCTTGAAATGTGTGGAACTTTATCATTCCTCAGTAATGTGACTCATTTCTGAGTCAGGTAATAATTTTGAATATTGAAAAATATTTCATCACTATTTTGTGCTATTCATAGTGTAATGGTGACATGTGGAATTAGTCTGCGTTAACATTTTCAAATGCTACTATCTTAAATCTCGACAACCAGCAAAACAATAAATCAAGCCCTGATTTGTAATGTTTGTCAATTTCTATAATATAAATACTCTACTGAGTAGAGTTCCCTGTGCTATACAATAGGTTCTTTCTAGTTATCTATTTTATATATAGTAGTGTGTCTTGATTTCTTTTAGATTTGGCTGTTTTCTGGTAGCCTCTTAAAATATAAAATGAGAATTTAGCTCTCTTACACCAACCATATGTACATATACACACTGATCCTCTACCCTCATCTTCCTAATTAAAAAAAAAAATCATGTCATAACGCTAAGTAGGTTCCAAAAATTTAATTGCATTCAATATAAGGATGAGTTATTACAAAGCACAGTTGACCCTGAACAACGTGGGATTAGGGTTGCTGACCACCCCCTGCAGTTGAAAATTCGAATACAACTTTTAACTCTCCCAAAACTTAACTGCAGTAGCCTTACTGATAACATAAACAGATGATTAACACATATTTTGTATGTTATATGTATTATATACTGTATTCTTATAATAAAGTAAGCTAGAGAAAAGAATGTTATTAAGAAAATCATAAGGAAGAGAAAATACATTTACAGTACTGTACTTTATTTGTTGGTGCCATGAGTTTACATCATCTGTTTACATGATGAATTGTCCTTCTGTCATACCTTCAACATTATTGTCTTATATGGTACAAAGCCCCAAAGATATTTTATGTATTACTAACACTAGACATCGAAAATGAAGATAATGTGAAAAAAATCATATTAATCTACAGGTATAATGATTCATGCATTGATAATGAAGGGGCAGAAATATGATTGCTTTATGGTAGCCTAGTGCAGTTAATACGATTGCTTCACAGTAGCCTGGCCTATATACTAATGAATGAATTATAAAATTTTTATGTTGTACAGTGCTAGTCATATTCATAGTACAGCACTGGAAACATTGTTAACATTTTTAAACCACTTACCTGTGATGATAGACATATTCAGTTTCTCCAATTACAGGGAGAATGAGGCACACTATAATGGTTACTAGATTTTCGCGTGAAGACACACACATACATAACAGATAAGTTTATTAACTATACAGCATGATTATTATTTACTATTTATTAAGTGGAAAGGTATCATCATAAAGAGCTTCATCCTCATCATCTTCAAGTTGAGTAGGCTGAGTAAGAGGAGGGATTGGTCTTTGCTGTCCCAGGGTGACAGAAGCAGAAGAAATATAGGAGGTGAAAAGGGAGGTAGGAGAGGCCAGCATACTCAGTGTAACTTTACAGAAATAGGTCATAATTTCTGTCTGACTTTTTGCTTTTTCATTTCTCTAAAAATGTTTCTACATGGTTCTAATCCTTCTTCCACTGTTTACTTTAGTTTCAGTGCCCATAGCATAGAAGAGTCCATGTTGTAAAAGAAGTCAAAAGCAGTCTTGAATAATAAGAACTCTTCTGCCAGATTGTCTAAATGGCAATTTGTTTTCTGGCACTGCTTCTTTTACATTTTCTTCCTTATCACCTGGAACTGGTTCAGAAGCACTCATCTCCATCAAGTCGCCTTCTAATTCCTCTGATGTGGTATCTATTAGCCCTTGAATGTCGCCAAGATCCATATCGTGCAACCCTTTACCCCCTACCTTTTTTGCTATATCCACAATCCCTTTCATGATTTTCTTGACTGGCTCTGTAATAAATCCTGTGAGGTCATGTACAACATCTGGACACAGTTTTCTCCAGCAGGAATTTATTGTTTCAGGCTTGATGGCTTTCGTTGCTTTTTGTATAACAACGATGGTCTCTTTTATGGTGTAATTCTTCTAGACTTCCACGATGGTCTCTCTATTGAGGTTCTCTGATAAAGGTTGACAATCCTTTCCATAGAGTACCATGTGTAATGAGCCTTCAATGTCCTTATTGACACCCTGGTGTGGAGGCTGAATTAGAGACATTGTGTTTTCAGGTCAAGTAGACCACTTCGATGCATTCAGTGATGAACTCATGGAGTTCTGAGTGACCAGGGGCATTGTCCAATATCAAAAGAACTTTAAAAGGCAGTCCCTTATTGGCAAGGTACTTCCTGACTTCAGAGACAAAGCATTGATGGAATCAATTCAGTAAAAGTGTGCTGGTTGTCTGGGTCTTCTTGTACAGCCAAAAGACTGGCAGCTGGCATTTATCTTTTCCCTTCAATTATTAAGGGTTAGCAAGTTTATAAATAAGGGCAGTTCTGATCATAAACCCAACTGCATTTGTACAAAACAGTAGAGTTAGCCTATCCCTCTTGCCTTGAATCCCGGTACTCACTTCTCTTCCTTACTAATAAATGTCCTTTGTGGCACTTTTCTTTTTCCAGAATAGGTCACTTTCATATGCATTTAGAACCTGTTCAGGGAGATAGCCTTTCCTTTCTCTTCAGTGGGCATCTGAACTCGTCTGCTGCCTCTTAGTTGGCAGAAGCTGCTCCTCCTATTATCTTTACATTTTTAAAAGCCAAACCGTTTTCTAAAATTATCAAACCACCCTTTGCTGGCATTAAATTCTTCAGCTTTAGATCCTTCACCTTCCTTTTGCTTTAAGTTGTCATATAATGACTTCACTTTTTCTTGAATCATATTAGAGTCTGTAGGTATGGCTTTCTTATAGCAATCCTGCACCCACATAAAAGCTACATTTTCAATATAAGACAAAAAGGTATTTTGGCAAAAAGTGCAAGGTTTTCACATCTGATGGCATAGCTGCAGTGACAGCTTCATGAATTTCCTTTTTTTTTTTACAGTGGTCCTTACACTGGATTCATTTATCTTAAAATGGCAGGCAACTGCAGCTGCAGACCTCAGTCTACAGTACGTATTAAGCAATTCAACTTTTTCTTCTAATGTCATGAACTCTGTTTCTTGGAACACTTCCAGCATCACTAGCAGCTCTTTGTATGGGTCCCATGGTGTTATTCAGGGTTTACGTTAAACATGATGAAAAATAGGTGAGAACTGTGAGAGATCACTTTTCACTGTGATATGCAATTCACTGGAGAGGTGAACTGCTCACATGGAGATGATTAGTGTCACACAGCATTTTAAGCAGACTCAACACTTGAGCTCACTGCAATAGCAACAAGAGGTGGCTATGAAATTACTACACTGGTACGGTATGTTCTACAATTAATTTTATGCAGGTATGTTTAATACTGCATCTTTACATTTGTTTACTATTCTCTCAACTGCAAATGGCACCATGTTCAGTCTGTGTGTGCATTAAGTTTTGATAAATTTTAACTTTTTATAATAGATCCGTGTATATTTTATACTAGCAAATGATAAAATAGACTAGTATCTACATATATTTTATGCTGCCATGACATACCTCTTTATTTTTGATATTCCTTGGCTATGCAGTTCACCTATAAGTTTTTTCAAACTGTTACAAATCTCCCAAAATTTTCTCCAATATATTTATTGAAAAATTTGCATGTAAATGTACCCATGCAGTACAAACCCATGTTCAAGGGTCAACTCTAATTAAATATCCAGGGTAAGCCTGCTTTGG